TATATGAATCATAAAACTCTTAAAATCCCTTTCTTTTTTTCCCCTCTGTCTGCTGCACAGGGAACATCAATCCTGACAAGGTTAAGACCAATACTCTTTGAAATTCAAGGAAATTCATTCAGTTAATATCATCAGTTCCTTTTGCTCAGGTTCTAACTACGTTCTTTCACGCTCAGCTTTTCTAAAGCAAATTTCATAAAGCCACTTAAAACTTTAAATCAGTAATACCACACAGTAATCCCACTGGGAAAGAGAAAAGAGTGAGTTGCAAGAACTTGAGTATACTGCTTGCTTAGTCACCCTTGAAGGAAAAGGACTGGAGAAATGAAATCAAACTAAAGGGGAACTTCAGAATGTTGAGAGCAATCTGCTAAATTGCCGTTTAACTTGCTAGTGAGGATCATATTTTAGCCAGAGTGAAAGGAGATAAAAGATGCTAAAACCCTTATGCAGCCACTGGTAATGATCCAAACCATTCTGTGATTTCTACTTAATTACAACAGCAATGCAGGACTTAAAATCTGCATGTCAAAATTATTATTATTACAGTAGAAATTTCAGAATGTTCCGCAACTTTTCTTAAGTAAATGTAATAATGTAGTATTTTTCTCCACATTCAGCTTCGTTGATTTTCAAGTGAAAGTACAGTTTCTGAGGTGAAAAGTATAACCAAGAGAAACCAGATGAGCCCTAATTTTTGTGTTCTTAAACAACGCATAACTATGTCTACTATTTTCTTCCAGAGCATTAACTCATTTTTTTCTTCTATTTTACACAGAAAATGACTCTAGTAGACCCAGTCCCTTCTTTCCATAAGATGACATAATTCCTTTGTACTAAATAGATATAAACCCCAAATACAAATAATTAAATGCAAAATGAGGGGGAAAAAAAAGTCTAGCAAAGCCCAAAACTGTAAAGCAGAATTGAAAAGATCCACCAGGGATGGTTTTTATTTCACCAATAGGCCAGAAGTTGATCTTATTAACAACATCACCAACTTTCATCCAATTTCTGGATTCCCAGACATCTCTTTTTCTCTTCCAAAGACAAATCCAGAAATTGACAGGGCTGACTGAATACCCAGTTCCAGGATGCTTGGTGCTGTAGCCACTGCTTTGGGAAGCCTGAAGTATTTCCCTGCGATATTGTAAGCTTGGTGGAATGCACTGCCTTGTATTGACAAAGGCAAATGATCTGAGCAAAGATCCATGATAGCAAAATTCCCACCAGGTGTAAAGGCATTTTCAGTGCTTTTCACCAGTTCTCAGTGAATGTGGGTCACCAAATCACTAAACAGAGCTAAATTTTACTATGTAAGGATTATAGATTGGTTGTTTTCTGTACAGCAACACCCAAATATCCCAGTTATCACAGCAGAAGGGAACATACTGCCACAACAGGAGGTTCTCTACGACGATGTTTACTCAAGCTGCATTAAAGAAATTATTAGTAAACTGAAACCAAGCTTTTAAAAGTGAGGAATAATGCAAAATTTCAGTAATGAAGTGCGCTAGCACTGTCTTAATTCACCTAGAGCCAGAAATCTGTATCATGTTTTTCTGCATACCTATTTTTCATCAAACAACATACAATCTTTACTTGACTATATTGTATATCTTCTCTGCCTGGTGGGAACCCTAATTTGCTTTAAATTGCCAAAGTGCTCATTATGGAATGCTTAGTAGCTAGAGTTTGTACATAATATTTGAAAATCAGCCTTAATTTTTCTGCCTGAGATGAACACTTGGATTTCAGAGTAAACATAATCAGAGATTTACACAAACTCAGTGAACCCTGTTTATTATATTTGTCTGGAATAGCTACAAAAGAGGTCAGAGGTCCAATGTCTTCCTGCAGAGACAGATCATGTTCTAGCTGGTACTGAGGAGGAAAAAAACAGTAGGTGATGCTTTAATGAATGGCTTATCATGTGGAACACACCATGTGATAATAGCAGTGCTGGTAAGGAAAGAAGGAAGTAAAAAACATAAAGGCTTTTGCTAGGTTTACATTGTTTGAAAGCTTATATTTCAACAGTAGCAGATGAAGAGGGTTTATTAAGAATATGTAGTAAAATCCACAGCAAGTTGAAAGGAGCTTTGAACTTTTTGTCTAAACATTATTTTGGAATTGCCTGTGTGATGGCATTGCCCTGACTAAATTGAAACACACAGCAGAATATTTTGATTCTGTGTGTCACTTTCAGTTATCATTTTTACTAAAGTGGTCTTGATCTAAGAACTCGTTTCAGAAAAAAAAAACAGAAACAAAAATAAGTTCACAGACAGATTATTCCAAACCTGAAATGGATGGTCCATAAAATAATTCCAATTTGTTTTCCTATACAAAAGGCTGTCAATTAGGAACTCTGACAATGCTTGTTCTTTGGGACTGAAAAGGATGGAGACAAAATTGTCCAGCTCTTCTAAATAAAATATTTCTCTTATGTGGCATGGGCCAGATCCACATCTCACAACTGAGCTGCATTGAGCCCTTAGTTCTGAACTACTCTTTTCTCCTCTTTCAAGAAGGAAGAAATAGGCTCAATAGTTAATCAAAATATGCTTTTCTCCAGCTGCTGTTTTCCATTTATGATTTTTATGCAACTGTTATGAGTGATCTCTGATTTTCCCTTTTTTTTTTTTTTTGACATGAATCACATTTTGTTCCCCATTTACCTAGAAAACGGTGTCTTAAAAAATACCTTGTCAGCATGAAAAATGGCAAGGTGTGATGGCTCTCATTACTAATAACTTGGTAAAATGTGGCCCTGCAATCTCACTGTAAAGAAGACATCAAAACATCCAATCCTCTTGAATGTCCTAGTCTCTAGTAGAATATCCCAAAATACTGAGGCAGGATAGACTTCTAATCTCCTTTAAAAGGGGATATCAGGTGTCTAAGTGGTTATAGGCTTGTGGCTCCTAGAGGAAGTAAACAAAGTGGGCTGTATTTAGTATTCAGACTCTCACATTAACCCGTGGTAAACCTGTACATTCAAATCTAAATTTCCCATGGCCACCTGAACCTGACCAACAAGTGTAGTGCTGGTCCTTACGATTTCGCCTTGCAGGATCAGCAGTAATAAGGACTAGATGCCTGAGATAATACAGTAATTAATTCTCATTTATGAGGGTAATTCTTGTGCAGCTAAAGCCCCTGGCCAAAGTCTGAGTGGTGTGGAAGAAGATCTCTGTGGTGATGGGGGGCACTGGATGCACAGCATGCAGCAGAGATGTGTTCCCTGGTGTACAAGCATTGTATATTGGCCATGTCTTCTTGAACTCCTGTTAACAGGGAACAGCAAACCCCCTCCTTGAGGGTGTAAAGGCAGGCTGTCTCCTTCCTCACTCTTTGCAAATGCTGGGAAGAGCCTCAGCCTAACCCCAAATGCTTGTTGGCAAAATAGCCCTTGAGTGTGGCTAGCACAACACCCACATTGTCCATCTCTTGCTCTGCCTGTTGGAGGTCATCCCTGGAACAGGAAAGACACCAGGCTCCACATTTACCTGTGATACAGCTCTACTGAAAAACACAGAGAGGAAGAACGAATCTGGCCTTTCCTCTCAGCACTCATACAAGTGACACTGCCATCAAACACCTCTTAGAGGAATGTGTACTAGAAGTTAATCTCATTAATGTGTAATTAAGATGCATTCAAAATTCTAGTCTCCTCTTGATAACTATAGGGTAACAGAAATTCACATTTGGATATCACAGATCAATTAGGAGCTCTTACAAAGCTGTGCACTGGCATGCACAGGCTGGGTGAGGCATGTACACTGCAGAAGCAGGAAGCAAGCATTCCAGGTCATCACTTGCCTCTGGCACATCCTAGACCTGCACACAGCTCAACAGCAGGAGATGTAGAGGAACAGCAATCATCACATGCTGGCCTCCAGGACTCAGATCCAGGAGCTTGACTGAGTTAACAACATATCTGCGTACTGTATGTACTGCAATTATTTGTATGTTTGTTGTTATATGTGTGCATATATATTTATGTACTTAAATGGATGGAAGAAAGGATCCATATACTTTTCTATCCAAGTCCTTGTGCTATATATATATATCCATATGTATGCCTACAGAAAAACAACCCAACATCTCACAAAATGCCTAAATATTCCCAAATGCAAACCACTCCAAATTTCCTCATGGACCACATGAGTAACAACAGGCAAGTCTCTGTAGCCTCAGCACCCATATTGCACTGCTCCCACCTAGGTACAACAGTTAGGCTCCGCTCACAGTGATTTGTGTGTCTCAGTTGGAAATTCAGTGCCAACCAAGCTGGAATCACAACATCTTAGCAAGCCATCTCAGTATTTGTTTATTCATATCATTTCTTAATAGTGTGTCCTCTGGCCTTGGTGGCAGAATATTGTCTTGTGGCTCTCTCCAATCCTACTGCAGGCAACAAACTCCAAGCCCTCCTTTCTAAGCACAGCACTTTTCTCTTTGGCCCAATGATCCTCAATTTATCTTTTGTTGTCTTATATAATTCAGGATGTGAGTTTTGGGACAGGGACTGTCTTTTTATCACTGTGCCAAGAGCAGAGGGGTCCTGGTTCCCATGCAAGTTTCTGACAGCATGTTGTATAAGCAATAACTGCAACTGCAACAATATATCATAAAACTGCTCAGCAATGGGCTCCTGCTGCATCTCAGCCAAGTCTTTTTTCAGAAATTTTTAGCAGTAAAGAGGAATCACAAGGCTGAAAACCAAAATCTTTAGAGTTGGTGACACCACCTATAACCCTGTACAACATTTCAGTGATTCTCCTGACAGAGCATGGGCTGTTTCTTTTTTTTTCCAACAAATGATCAAGGGCCTGGACATAATAAATAAATAAAATTCCTCCTGTTACTTACAATGGATGCTTCTAATTTGCTTACCACTTTGCTTATCTATTCATTGAGATAATTATCTGACACCTGCCAACAGCAGATTGTTCTGACAGATTTTTATTGGCTGAGATCAATTTGTTACTTACCATCTGTCCAGCTAAAGGTGGTTTACAGGTCAACAAGCTGGTGAGCTTTGGAAAATCTTAAAATGATCTTGAGCAGTATCCTTTCTGAACTAATTTCATTTTAATCTCCTGTAAAGCACATGAAAGGATGGAGTTGAAAATTAGCTTTCAAGCAGACTGCAACAGAAAGAAGAGAAAATAATTTGTTTTTCTTTGCTACGATCTTGAATAATCTATTTCATATGAGGTCGCCAGATCAATCAGTTGAACCCGCTAGCAGGTAAGTTGTGATGTGGCACTAATTACCTCTGAAGGAAAAGACACAGTCCAACCACCTCACTTTAATAACGTCACAGACTCTTCTTACAACAAGCACAAACTTTTAACCACAAGCACCCCAGCTGTTATTTCTCTTTGTGGCCCTTGCAGGTGGGTAAGGATTCTTCCCATCCCATCTCTCATAAGCTCCCAATGCTACCCCACTGTACTTGACACAATCAGTCTGGGAAGTGAGTTGCAGTCTCCAGAGTTCCCTTTTGCCCTTCTTTTCCCCATGCAGAATTTCCAGCATGGTTTGCAAATCCATATTTGGCTGCAATACGCATGCCACTGCTCTGATCAACCCATCTGGGGGGTTTTGCAATTAATTTTCTGCATCTCTAGGAGTGCTGGAAGGCCTTCAGTATCTCCTGCAGATACTACTTTGGAAAGTCAATGGATTGTTATATGAACCAGTGCTCCAGCAACTGTGCTCAGCCTTCTGGATGTTCAGCTTTTGACTTCTGTATTGAAGAGACAGAACTAGTTGGGAAGTGTTCCAGCTGTTCTTAAAATTAAACAGCACCTATGTTTGACTTTATTCTGTGGTAAGCTGATAAATTAATAAACTCCTATCATTTAATTAAAACTTCAAAATTACAGAAACTATTCTGTTGGCTTTTCAAACCATTTCAAACTGCTTTCCAAAAACCTTGTGGGAGTTTACATCTACTTCTGAAGATTGCTTCCATGCTAACTTAAAACTTCTCTGGGCTCCAGAAATGAAAATGAGAATTTAATGGTAGCACTGAATTACAAAGAAGACCTTTTTTCTCATCCCAGCTGTGCTTCAAGACCTTCCTAATGGCTATGGATCACTTAAAGAGAGTGGCACTGAAGGTCCCCAGGACAGACTTTTGTGCTAGTGCAAATGCTCCTGAGGTCCTCTTATGTAGTGAGCACTGCTCAGAGGGTAATGGATCTATTGGTAATGTGGTTGAAGGGAAAGTCTGCTGCTAATGGGTTTGAAGGGAAATATCCAGCCAAGGATTCAAGCACAGTCAGAAATCCTGCAAACTAAGCACCTGGGTGACATCTTTTGTTGGAAAGATAGTGGTGGCAAATGCTGTGAACAACAGCCTGTTTTCTACTATTTCCTATATTGCAGCCATTCTAAATTAAACATGAAATTGTCTCCAGGGTACTGCTCTGTAACTAAGTCAGTGAAAAATCCTTCTGCACTTTGGTGCATGATTTAACCTGAAGTACATGTATGTATATAAATATATATTGTGCATTTTTTTCCCAAATTTTCAAATCATCTGTGGTGCCAGGCTAACGTATGATGTATTACAGTTGCAAGCTAGAAATAAATGGAAAACAGGTTTTTATGAAAAGATATGAAGCAGAGAACCAAACTACTGCCTACATAGGTACTTTTAAAAGGTGCAAATTTGAAACATCTTTCCAAAACTTGTTGTTAAATTATTTCTAACTTAATACACCTATATCCTCCAAATAATCATAAACTCATCAAGGCAATCCTTCTTGAGGAGTCCCCTGAAAGTGGAGAACGTTTCGGGAATATATAAAAATGTGTTACTCATTATTGCTTTGAAGAATTGATTCCAGTGGAAATCCAATATGTCCTCTCAAAAATATCTACTGTATCTGCTTCTCAGCTGAGTTCTTAGGAAAGGTCTTGATGACACCTTGTACGGAGATGTATTGGAGATGGATTACAACAGGAAATGAAACGGTCTACAGCCAGTATGTTAAACCTGATGCCTATAATCTGACTTCTGAATGTGTATTTGGAGCCGATGACAGCTGTGCGTTCCTCGCACCTGTAAAACCCAGGCTATCCTTGTTACTAAGGACTCACAGTCAAGTCCCACCGCTGAGTTTTGTGAGGCTGGGATGCTGGTGTACATGACGAGGGCTAGCCACTCAGGCTTGATCACTTTTGACCCAAAGAACTAAGTTCAGAATTCTCCCCAGATTTATGTATTTTGCTCGCTTGTCATAACCTATACTCCAGCTCCTGCATATCAACTTAATTTCATTTCAGTTTCCAGTTTCATATGCACCGCGGGGATCTCTTTCCCAGGCAAAAGGCAATATGAGGTGAGAAGAAGAGCATGCTGCCAGCACAGGTATAGGCCTGCATAATGGAGCTGTGACACTTTTCATTTTAACAACTTTTTGAGTGGGGAGCGAAAGACATAATGCAGATGGCATAATTGAAGTGGGAGAATGAAACATTAAGCATGCACAGAAGGGATTAGAGAGGAAGACTTTTGGGGTTATTTAATTTTGGCTCAGTTGTTATCTAACAGTTTTGTCAGGGAAAAAAAAAATGTTAAAGCTCCTTGCAAGTCCAGAAAACCTAAGGAAGATTATTACCTGCCTAGGAGTATGTAAAACCTTGTAAAACTATCAGGCTTGAGAGAATTTATTCTTTATTATGTGATATCATGTTCTACAAAATATCTCTCCTTGCACAGCTCTCACAGGTCCCCTTTCTTCATCTTTATAGACTTGTCAATTCTGGGAATGATCTAATCGTGATGAGGATTTAAGGTATGTATATGTATTGTGGTGAATGCTAATAATTCATGAGCTCTTGGTTTCAAAGATCTTCTCTGCGAAGCTCTGCAGTTCAAAAAGGAATGCCTTAAGATGAAAAAAGATGCTAAGCTTCGTATTTAACACCTAATGAAATCATTAAGGAGAGATCAGACATGATTGCAAATGTTAATTTATCAGATTTTGGACCTGTCACAAGTATGGTGAACACAAAGAACAGGAACTTAAAAAACCTTTGAGGTCTCATTAATTGAGGTGGGAAATAAAAAAAATGGGGAAGAGATTTCAAAGGCCTCCAGACAGACTGTGCGAAGGGAGCAACTCTGCACACACCTTGCTTGAGCAAAATCTTTCTAAAATCCTAGGGAGCTTTGCTGGGGTCTAGTCAGAAACACAGGCAATCTGAGCATCTTTGGTTATGAATCCCTATTTATTGTGTGCCACTGACACAACCAGGAGCATTCTCACTCCTAGGGAGCATAACATGCCTGTGGGATCAGTTACCTCCAGGAACTCCAGGAAGAATACATATGAGGATAAGAAATAGTCACTCTTTATTCCTGTCAGTAGGTTTTGCCTTTGACTCTGCTGATCAATATCAGCCGTGCATTGGTTACTATGGGAATTAGGCTTTCCTGCACTCAATAAACCCCAAGTTCCTTTTTTTACAAAGGTGAGCAAAATACTTTTAAAAAGAAGGTTTTATCTGCTTTATGCCTTGGGGGACTCTGCAGCCATCACTTTAAAGGTACTTGGACACTTTGAAATGCAGAATATTATGATCTAGCTGTGGGCAAGTAAAGACTTAAAACCATTTGTTTACCCCAGAAATCAATGTCAAATTCATGTTGAAATCTATACGCTCTGTGTGCCCAGCCTGTGTACGTGTCACTGTACTCATGTGTGCACACACGTGTGATTGTAGGTGTGTGTGTTTTTATCTATATATACACAGAAATATAAACCTTATTGTGGACTACCTTTAAGGTTTGACACAAGATAACTGAGATAAAAAATACTTGACTGTACCTTGGACTGAGTGCCTCAGCTGGGCTAACTACTCCGCCCTTACAATGATCTGAGAGATTCTAACACTGGGATAGGAAATAGCCTACTTTGCACTTTTATTTATGGTAATATACTGTTTGATTATGAAATATTTAGCAACGCATTAATATGTATTTCTGGTGGCACGTAGTGCCAAGCATATGTGACATAATATGTAAGGTATTTCCTGCATGGAATTAACTTGAACAGAAGCTATGATGGATGTGATCTTGGACTGCTACAATGGCAGCTCAGCGATGTAACCTCTTCTGAGACTTCCCAGGTGAAGCAGGAGAGTGGCAGCAAACTGCCACAGAAAAAGCTGCCAACTCCAGCCAATCTGTCAGATGTCTATTCCTGGGATCTACTGCTAATTGGCTTGAAGGATGTTAAGAATGAGTGAATTATTCCTTCCTTCTCCTTCCCCCCCCACGCCCTCTTTTTGTTCATTTGTGTGTCTCATATTTCTTCCCTTGTGCTAGAAACAAAAATAACAAAGGGTAATTGTGATGATTTTCTCAACCTGTAAGCAACTAAAAATGGCTGGAAGTTAGAACAAACCATTACCTGGATACTTTTGGAGACCGCATTATGCACCAAAGAGATTTACAGCAACCAACGGCTCAAGGCTTGTCTCACTATCTTTCCACAAAAAGCTAAATAACAGTCTAAATGGACAAGAATTTGCTGTCTTATGGACTTGTTAAGAGAAAAGAAGGTCAAATACACATTTGAAAGCCTTATTGTCACAAATCTTTCAAATTTCCCATGACCCCTCATGATAGGCAGAGTTAAAATTCACAGCAAAGGTGTGGGAGAGACCTGCTGGCAACTGGCAGACAACAAGAAGGCAAACTGTTGTTATAAATACAATATTCACCAACCTCAGAAATTTGTGTCTAAACTTGATCCGTTGACTTAAAATCTGTCAATTAAATGAAAACCACACACACCACGCTGTTTAGAGGAACATAAGGAAACACGTTTATGCACTTTTGTCTGCAGCTTTGAGACACATAATAATACGAGACTGTTCTGCCATGCCTCAATACCATGAAAAACTGTTGGTTTGAGATTATGAATTCTTTACAACTAAAAAGAACGCTTTCTTGCAGCAAAAAGAAGCAACAACAACAACAAAAGCAAACTGGAGATGTTCTACAGAAGTTCAGAACTGAAGTTATAAAAGAGTTTATGTGAAACCAACTTGGAAAGGAAGCTCACTTTTGTTTCAC